TATGAAAACAACGAACGCGCTACACATGTTGGGTATCGCCGCTCACGCCGGAGTGAGAGCAATAATTCTAGGGCCAGTATTTTGGGGTATCTCTAAATTGATGACCTGTGGGGGCTTTTAAAGCGTCTTCTATTGACTTTTTGGGGTACTGCAGTTTTTCGCCGTTTCACGGACGCATGCAATTTGTAACCTGGGCATGTTGGGTATCGTTTTACTCGTTGTAACCTCATCTTCTATATTTAATTTAAAAAATTGGTATTTTGTTGTGTTTTGGGGCATTTCATTACATTTTTCACTAAATGTTGGGGTTTAATAAGGAGTTGCGCTAATATTGCGCAACATAAAAATTTCCAACTACCACCATTTTATTCTATAGATTCTTGGCATTCAGAAAATATATAATGTTGGGGGGTTTTAAGTCATTTTCAGGCCTAAAATGTGGAATATAACATGGGTGCAAAAAATGAAAAAAGGGCCTCAGTCATGAAGGGGTTAATGGGACTTCTGATATCGGTATCGGCAAGTATCGGTACCGGTGCGTCCCTAGTAGTTTTACCAAAACTGGAGGGCGGAAGTTTGCCTACCCAGGTTCTACAGCAGGAGTAGCCAAACTATGCCCCCCCCAGCTGTGGTGAAACTACAAATTCCATAATGTCTTTACCTCTGGGAATCATGCCTATGGCCCTCACTCTTGCAATGCCTCATGGGACTTGTAGTTCCACAACAGCTTTCAGAGGGCCAAACTTTGGCTACTCCTGTTCTAATCAAGAGAGTAACATGTTTAAAATGCGGCGCGGTGCATGTCAAGGTATTTCTGGTAAGAGTCCAGCCTTAGCTATGCATTTGGTACAGATCCTATGCTTGAATGTTGCAGCAAAAAAAAAAGCAAATCCCCTTTCAAATGGCTGCAATGGAATGTGCGGGAATGTGGCCTTCCAACTGGCTTTTAGCATTTTTTTTTACTGGCCCGGAAGCTGCTCCTGGCGGTCAATGGAAGACTAGCCATCCTGTGCATGAGCTCCTTACCATCTCCTAAGAGCCCCTTCTAGCTGTAGTCTGAGCTTAGCAATGCCCACCCATCATATCCCTACATGCAGTGTACACAGCCCCTCTAAACAATAGAAATGCATGCTCACCGGGGAGAGTGGCTTGGGAAGTCAGTGCTTGGACTGTGACAGTCAACTTCAACATTTTTGGGGCTCCCCGGCTGCTCAGGAAGACAGATGCACACTTAATCACCTCTGTCTGTGTTCACCAGTTGATATCAGCTATACAACTCTATAACCCAGCATAGGTCCATCCAGAGCTTCTGAATGACAGGTCCTCTTCAGTGCGATTGGTAAAATCATTCCACAGCTAAATTTCCTTCCAGTGTATAAAAGTTGGAGATAATAAAACCACCATAAGGAAAAAAAAAGTAGAGGGGTCACCTATGGCCGGTGGCAAAATAAAGTAATAATTCCACTTCGAGGAACATTCCCTTTCTATGCTGAAAATAATGCATTTCATTGGTTAGGTTGGAGGAGATTATTCATGAAACTTTAAGTATAAAACTGACACCGGAGTTATCTATAAAACAGAGAATTTCAACTTAAACTATGGCTAAAACCAGCAGAGACATGGCCCAAAGTGTAAAATATTTCTATTAAAACTTAAGCTGACCTTAAAGTGGAACTCCGGGCAAACTTAGATTGGGAACAGGATCGAGCATCTTCCAGTCTTCAAGAGCTGATATCCCATCACTTCCTGTCCCGGTGTCCCCTAGGACATTGCCAGGAGCTGTTCTCCATATAAAGACCGGGGTCACTGACATTAATCCTTAGTGGAGTATTTAAGAATGCACTTTACCAACGAAAGCAGGAAGTCCAGTGGACAGCCTTGTATGAGGTGTCACCGGAACAGGAAGTTGGGCTGCAATGAGAACCTGGCAGAGTTTCTAACCCCTCCCCTATTTTATACAAAACTACTGAAACCTAAAATGGAAGCGTGCGTTTATGACATGATGTCAATGAGCGTAAAACAGCAGGAAGTCCTCCAGACTCCGCCTCCTCTCCTACCGATAGCGTAGCGCGGCTAACATCGCCTGCAGGTCGGCCGGCTTCTCGGTGTAGCGGATCAGGTATTCGGGGTAGATCTGGAGCTTCTCGAAGATGACAAATATGGAGGGATTGCTCTCGCTGTCCACGCAGCTGTCATAGAAGCTGGATCCAGAGGGGGATTTTGCTGGCGGGCGGAGGTAAGAGGACGAGCCGCGGATGAAATCGCCCACCAGGGTCCGGGCCACGAACATGACGTACTGCCCGGAATTTGCGTTAGTACAGTACCGGTGCGAGTAGGCGGCATCTCTGGCAAAGTAACTGCCTGTGAGGGAAGAGAAGCAGGGAGGTCAGTACATGGGAAAACCACGGGCTGGTGTGGCTCAAGTGACTGAAGATAGACTTCAATGGTACAAACTACAAGGCTGTCATCTTCATCCTGACTTCACTACCTAGGGAGTCCCTAACCTGGAACAAGCAGGTCCGGAGTCCTGACACTTCCCTTGCCGCATGCTTGATCCCGGAGAGTCACTCACTTGTTGTGAAGCAAAGAACAGGATGACCAGACCAACCTAGCAAAGACAGCTCATATATTCCTTTGTTAAAGGGGAAGTACTGGGAGAGTAAAATACACTATATTGCCAAAAGTATTGGGACGCCGGCCTTTACACGCACATGAACTATAATGGCATTCCAGTCTTAGTCCGTAGGGTTCAATAGTGAGTTGGCTCTGCCCTTTGCCGCTAAAACACCTTCAACTCTTCTGGGAAGGCGTCCACAAGGTTTAGGAGTGTGTCTATGGGAATGTTGGACCATTTGTGAGGTCAGGTACTGATGTTGGAGGAGAAGGCCGGACTCGCAGTCTCCGCTCTAATTCATCCCAGAGGTGTTCTATCAGGTTGAGGTCAGGACTCTGTGCAGGCCGGTCAAGTTCCACCACCCCAAACTCCCCCATCCATGTCTTTATGGACCTCGCTTTGTGCATTGGTGCGCAGTCATGTTGGAACAGGAAGGGGCCATCCCCAAACTGTTCCCACAAAGTTGGGGGCATGGAATTGTCCAAAATGTCTTGGAATGCTGATGCCTTAAGAGTTCCATTCACTGGAACTAAGGGACCAAGCCCAACCCCTGAAAAACAACCCCACACCATAATCCCCCTCCACCAAACTCTCCACCTGGCACAATGCAGTCAGGCAAGTACTGTTCTCCTGGCAACCGCCAAACCCAGACACGTTCATCGGATTGCCAGACAGAGAAGCGTGATTGTTCACTCCAGAGAACACGTCTCCACTTCTCTAGAGTCCAGTTGCGGCGTGCTTTACACCACGGTATCCAAAATCCCCCCCCACCAAACTCTCCACCTGGCACAATGCAGTCAGGCAAGTACTGTTCTCCTGGCAACCGCCAAACCCAGACACGTTCATCGGATTGCCAGACAGAGAAGCGTGATTGTTCACTCCAGAGAACACGTCTCCACTTCTCTAGAGTCCAGTTGCGGCGTGCTTTACACCACGGTATCCAACGCTTTGCATTGCACTTGGTGATGTAAGGCTTGGATGCAGCTGCTCGGCCATGGAAACCCATTCCATGAAGCTCTCTACGCACTGTTGTTGTGCCAATCTGAAGGCCACACGGAGTTTGGAGGTCTGTAGCTACTGACTCTGCAGACAGTTGGTGACTTCTGTGCACTGTGCGCTTCAGCATGCGCTGACCCCGCTCTGTCATTTTACGTGGCCTACCACTTCCTGGCTGAGTTGCTGTTGTTCCAAGTTGCTTCCACTTTGTTATAATACCACTAACAGGTGACCGCGGAATATTTAGTAGGAAGGAAATGTCACGGATGGACTTATTGCACAGGTAGCAACCTATCACGGTACCACGCTTGTAGTCACTTAGCTCCTGAGAGCGACCCATTCTTTCACAAATGTTTGTAGAAGCGTCTGCATGCCTAGGTGCCTGATTTTATACACCTGTGGCCATGGAGGGGATTGGAACAACCGAATCCAATGATTTGGCAATATAGTGTATATTATTTTCAATAGTTTGAGCCGACGTGTGACACTGCAGCTGTCACATGACGGCTCTATAGATTGGGAACTGAGCAATCATGAACCACTGATGGCTCAGCTCACAGCTTCTCCATGCAGAGAGCTGTGCCTGTCAGTCACAACTCCCTGCAGGGATCCCCCTTCCCTTCTCTGTTCCTCCAGTGCTCATTGGAAGGACAGACGGGGGAGGGGGTGGGCACAGCTGGCTCTGGCTCTAGAGAGGCAGAGCCAGCTGTCAATCAGACAGCAAGGTGGATCCCGACAATATTTTCAGGATCTCTGTGCCACCAGCAAATCTCTATGCTGAGTTTGGGTCAGAGGATTACATTAGCAAATGTACCCCTTTGACCCAAAAGAGAACTACAGCCCATAAAAAAGAAGACGGTTTGGTCGTAGTTCTCTTTTAATATTAAATAATTTAAATATCAGATTTGAGAACCCAAATGAAATCCTCACCTTTACCGTACGATGTGCCGTGCGTCCCACAGATGCGCCAATCGAAGTTGTGTTGGCAGATGGCATCGACCAGACTGGAGCTGGTGCCATGGAACACTTTGCGCTCGTCCACCTCCTTACCACCATCGCGCTTCTTCATCTGCTCCTTCTGCCTGCAACAAATATGTTTACAACTTAAAATGGATCGTGAAGTCAAAAGGATTTTAAGCTACTTCAAAATGAAATCACGTACAATGGATGCAGCTCCTTAAAAGTTTTAGTTTCCTGCAGAATCAGCGGGTCCCCTGAACTCTGGTCCTGACTTCCTGTCTTAGGGTGACTCCTTTCTCAAGCAGAGTGCTATGCAGTGTGTGCGCTAGTAAGCTATGTGTATCTCCTCAAACACACAGACACAGCAAATCAAGCCATTCCCCTCGCACCCTGGCCCCCCTCCTCCCTTCCCCATTCTCCAAGCTAGTAGATGAACAGTTGCTGGATTCTGCACTGTCCTTTGTGATCTTGTACTGGACAAGAAGTTCAGAGAAGCCTAGCTGAGAGACTTGGAAGCAGCTGTTTAAAAACATGATGGCTAAATGTATATTTGTTTGATCTCAATTAATTATTGAAAAAAAGATTGAGAGTTTAATACTACTGTAAAGAGAGTTCCTTGAATGGGCAAAGTGACAGGTCCTCTTGTTTGGGCACCCCCGATCCTACCCACTGATACTCTGTCCCAGACCTGGCTCTAGCCACTGTGTAAGCAGCTCTGTCGTGTGGTGTAGGAGCTTCCACAGGGTTAATGACCCCCCTCCCCCCCATGTGACAGCACTCAGACCCAAGCATTGCATTCTGGGAGGAAGAAGAGAAGGTCAGTACCCCATACCGGGTCATTCCGAGGGCTCCAATGGACAATACGTACTGTGTAGGTAAGTATCAATGGGTGGGGAGGTGTGTGTGACCAGGGGAAGCGGGGAGTTGGTGGCAGCAGCAAGAGAACCTGTTACTTTCCATGAATGAGGAGTGAAGACCTCCGTCTGTCTAATTTAAAATTATATTAAAAAAGAGCTGCTGGGAGGTATAAAGTGGAGGTTAAAAGCATCTCAGTTATGAGTAAAGAAAAGTGAAACTCCAGACCGATAGAAAAGACACCAATTAATGCAGCTCTGTACTCAATACATCATAAAATGTGCAATTTATTAAACGCAAGCCGTGAAACTACCAGAATCTGTCTTATCAGCCTTTTGCAGTCCTGGCACAGCAGAGCTCAGACAGGGGGAGGTAAAAAGCAGCACAAAGAGCCAATCAGTGGTGCTGCAGTGCTCATGTGTTAACAAGGAATATGCTGATAGCAGGAGAGAGCAGAGTGACAGAGATGAGCTCTGCTGCTTCTACTTTCACTGTCCAGTCACAGACTGGGGAAGAGACAAGACCTGTCACTGAACTGCAACAGAGAAAAATCAGGTCTGACCTGCCAGACCAGACTGTGCTGCAGAGCTGTATAAACCTTCGGACTGGATGGGCAGAAATACAAATCCTTTGGCAGGTAAAACATCTCCCTTATACTGTATGCATCTGATTTGTGTTTTATCTGTTTGTCTGGAGTTCAGCTTTAAGCGAAAGGAAGAAACCAAATGCCACGTGAGAATGGCGCTCACCACTGATAGACCTCCCACAGTGCCAGATTCTGGATGCGCTCGACGCTCTGTATCTGGGTGTCGGGAACTGTGCGCTGAAACATGGTCTGTATCGTCTTGTACTCCTCTGAGGACGCAGGAAGCTGGACGAGCTGGAAAGAAATCATCAGTTCAGACCGGAGTCTCCTCCAACGCCACAGCACGTCAGTGTTTGCCCTTACAGTACATATGTTTCTACATATATAAGTACATAGGGTCAGCCATACGGATCACATGATCAGGGTCTGCTTCATAGTGCTGCACAGTGACTGCCCTTTAGTGTTTCCCCTTCACCATGTCACTATCAGTCCCCTTTTGAAACTAACAATGTGGATCATTGCTCTGATCTCAACAATACTTTAGCAGATGAGCTATATGGCCAAAAGCAGCTGGACAACCCTTCCAATGATGACGTTGTGGTGTCTCCAGTGAAGGGTACTGATACCCTACAGCATACAAAGACATATTAGACAATTGTGCTCTTCCAACCTTTGGTGAAGGTCCTTTCCTTATCCACCATCACTGTCCCCTGTGTACAAAGACAGCTCTATAGAGACATGGTGTCACCAGCTTGGTGTGAAGGAATTTGGGAGTCCTGACCTCAACCCTACGGAACACTTTTGGGGTTACATAGTTACATAGTATTAGAGGTTGAATAAAGACACGGGTCCATCAAGTTCAGCCTTTGTGTGTATGTTTGTGATTGTGCATGTGTGTGTATACGAGTCCCCATGTGATCTTGTTTTTAAAAGTACCTGTACCCCTGTATGTTACGGTCTCTTATGAAGGTATCTAAATGCTTTTTGAATGATTCCATACTCTCAGCTGATACCAATGCTTGTGGCAGCGAGTTCCAGATTTTAACCGCTGTAACTGAGAAGAAGCCCCTACGCCCTTGTGAATAAATCTTTTCTCCACCAGTTTTAGGTGGTGGCCTCTAGTCTTTCTTATGGAATTTACTGTAAAAATTTTATTGCTGATGTTTCCATCATCACTGAACATTATGTACATCAAAATCATGTCCCCTCTTAGGCTTCATTCACACTGCCGTACAATACACTGCGTATATGCGCGTACGTGCGTATTGTCCCATGGGCAGCATATGCAAATAAATGGCTCCATACACATAGCTGCGTATGGAGCCGTATATTTGCGTAGCGTAAAAATGCGCAAAAACAGAATGGACCCAAGATGCGTCCGGGCAGCGTATTTCTGCATATTTTACGTGCATATACAATGCTATTATTCAATCTGTGGTCTACAATGACCCCCAAATCTATTTCCATTTCTGACTTCCCTAGTGGAGCGCCCATTAATATGTATTCCTTATGCCTATTTTTAACCCCAAAGTGCATTACTTTACATTTTTCAACATTAAACCTCATCTGCCATGTAGTTGCCCACTCCCCTATTTTATACAGGTCCCCCTGCAATGCTATAGTGTCCATTACCCTCCCAATTTTAGTATCATCAGCAAACACAGAGCCGCGGCTATTAACACCTTCCCCGAAATCATTAATAAACAGGTTAAACAGTATGGGGCCTAGCACAGAACCCTGGGGCACGCAACTCCCAACCTTAGACCATTCTAAAAAAGAGCCATTTATCCATACACTCTGGACACGTTCCTGTAGCCAGTTCTCTATCCATGTACACAACATCTCATCTATGTCCACAGATCTCAAATTGTGTAGTAAGGGTGAACTGTAAAGTGGATTGTGAACCAGATCTTCTCATCCAACATCAGTACCTGACCTCACAAATGGGAACAAAGTCCCACAGACGCTCCAAAATCTTGAGGAAAGCCTTGGGTGCTGTAACCTCAAAGAGGGGTGACTCCTCATCAATGACCACGGTTTTGGAATGGGATGTCCAACAAGTTCATTACTGTGTGAAGGTCAGGTGTCCAAAAACGTTTGGCAATATACTGGACATGTAAAGGTGGAGCAATAGTTTGGTGTGAGGAACTCGATTGTCCTGCATAGAGCCCTGACCTCAACCCTACTGAACACCTTTGGGATGAATTGGAACACCAAGCCAGATCTTCTCATCCAACGACAGTACCTGACCTCATGAATGGGCACCAATTCCAATTTTTCTTGTGGAAAACCTCCCCAGAAGAGTGGAGGATGCAATGGTCCTAAAGAGGGGCCAACTTCATATTAATGGTCATGGTTTTGGAACTGCATGTCCAACTAGCTCGTATAGGTGTAACGGTCAGGTGTCCAGAAATTTTGGCCAACCACAGTCCCTAAACGGGGATCATTAAAGCAGGGGCAGGCAAAGGCTGCTCCTCCAGCTGTGGTGCAACTACAAATCCCATGAGGCATTGCAAGACTGAAAGCCACATGCAGGACTCCCAGAGGCATTTGCATTATGGGATTTGTAGTTTCACCGCAGCTGGAGGGCCGGAGTTTGCCTACCCCTGTACTAGAGGCAAGACTGACACATGCATCTACCAGATGAAAGCTTCGGTAACAATTGAAAAGTTTTTCTCCCCATTTTAAGAAATATGCCATGTTGCTCTCACCTTGTACCCAACCTCGGGAACCTGTCCCTCATCCCAGTGTGCCGGGGTTGACTTGTCGCCAGTTTTGGACGGCTCCAACTTCCTAAAAAGCAAAGACAGAGTCATTCTTCTGTGTCTCCTTTGTATGTCACAGTGAAACGAACCTGAGATTTACCTGTGCAGGCCCAAGTGACAGGTCCACTTTAATGGCGGCTCCACCAGCAGCCACACTTTCCTCCCCTGCTGATCCATTCAGTTGCGGCAGAATGAAAGCCAAATTTTTACAGCTGGCGGAGCCGCTATTAAAGAGAACCTGTTGCTGTGCCCCTTATGAGCAAAGCAAAGTTCCACCTTAAAGCTGACCTAGTATAGTAATTCCCATCCTCTAGGAGTGCGTGTGTTAGAGTTCTTCCGCAGCATCTCTGGAGCCAAAACTAAATTCCCCTCCATTGCAGGAAGAGCAAGAATAATTCCCTTACCTCTTCTTCAGTTTCGGCACCTCCTCTGCAGACACAAACTTGGGCCTCCGGCACACGGGCCGCTCTGTACCAAAACGGACGTTCCTCTGCATCATCTCTGGGGGGAGACAACATTAATGGCGGAGTGAGCACAAGAGGCAGAGAACTTGCAAATCTAATACAGCTCCACCATTAACTGCTATCCGAGAGTCACTGAGGATTTCTGGGCGATACCCGGGCCAACGCAAAGATACACAATGACAGTGAATCTAAGCAGCAAGTAAAGTCAGCCAATGGTGATATCCAGCAAATACTGCAAATGGCTGCTGCTTCTGGTCACATGATTCTGTACAATTTCCCATAAAGCAAAGTGACAGGCTCTCTTTATAATCGTTTCTTCCTCTTCCCACCTTTTCCACACTCCCCTGCCATTCAATTTTATTGGAGCCCTCCCGATGCTTCCAATTATCAGGGAGCATGTGATCTTCTCCCCTTTCTCCCATGATGCAATGCATGAGCGGCAAATTGCCAGGTCGGACACTGTCACAGGGATTAGACCCAAACGATGGCAGGTGAAAAGAGGCAGCAGGGGGGCGCGGATAAGGCCTCAGTGGGTGGGGTAGTGACAGATCAAGAGAACCTGTCACTTCTCCATGAATGGACGCTCACTTTAAGCAGTGTGTAGTCCTCCTCCCCTGCAGATGAAAAGCAGAGTCCTATACTGGTAAGCCCTGCTGCTCCCATGTTTGTATTTTAAGGGTTAATCCTAACAGGAGCGTACCTTTAAAACTGAGCACATAGCTTTGTTTCCCGGCTTTGAACTGGACGCTGGCGTTCTCGTCAGACAGGAAGACCGTCTCAATGTCGCTGCTGGTTATGGTGGCGGAGCTGTGAGCCTCCTTCTGCAAAACAAATCAGAAGATAACATTACGTGACCTCGCTTATTAATGATCTCCGGGATTTTTAAACATTAACCCTTGGAGTGTGGCTACCCCTGCACTGCAAGGGTTAACTGCTCGGTTTCGTTTTTTTCAGGGGACGGAATAAAGCAGAAATACTCACCTGATGCTCGGTCCTTCAGAAGTGACCGCTCCCCCCTCTGCTCCGGCTGCAGTGTGTCACTCGGCGTCCTCACGTCTAAAAGACTTGTATTAGATGTGATGATATCACGTGTCCCTAGAGCCCGGGGCAGAAGAGGCCGTAGGGACCAGTCTAGCAGCCAGGTGGGATCGAGGATCAGATGAGTATTTCTTCTTTATCCCATCCCCCAGAGAAAAAGAAGCAGTTAACCCTTGCAGTGTGAGCGCCACCCCACTGCAAGGGTTAACTTTAAATATCCTGGTGTTCCTCTTTAATTGAGGGTCTCGGACAGTTCTCGCTACGACCATATTCCCTGCAGTACGGGAGAATAATGGAGGAATCTCATTGTCTCTACAGAGCAACACAGACTGTCAAGAGTTTTATTATTTTGTTAAAAAAACATAGTCCCATTTTTTAGTTTTGGCTGGAGTGTGGAAGGCTGGTTAGGTTTTTATTGCTGTGCCCCCACTAGGGAGAGTAACTCGCTCTATTATTCCTGGTGACCGTGATCAGCCATGGGAACTCCAAAATGTTATCGTTGTCACCATAACAGGAATAGAGGGGGAATCTTCCTATGGGGACACATATTCTGGCGACAACTGTCTAAGTGGGGAATTCCCTTCACTTCAGATAGATTCCCTCTCACTTCCTGTTGTGTTTCTGGAACAGGAAGTTAAATAAAATATCCCCCAATGGGACACAGGCCGCAAAAAGAAAAAAAAAAAGACAAGGGTTTGAATCCTTCTTCTCTATAAAAGTTTGGGCTTCAGAAATACTTTAAAGCCGGGTAACATAAAGCTTTGGTAATGGTGTTTCTGTGATAAACAGAAATAAAAGGGCTAAAATGTTTAAAATTGAACCCCAGAGAGATATAAAAAGACACAAATTCATGCAGCTTTGTGATCATTAAAAGTATGTTTTACACTGACCTGAATGTGACTTAGTATCAGCCTCTTTCAAACCCCTGTACAGCAGAGCTCATGTAAGCAGAGGGAGAAGTAGCACAAGTAGCTATTCAGTTGTGCTGCAGTGGTCATGAGCTAACAAAGAGCATGTGGATAGCAGGAGAAAGCAGAGGGACATAGAGATGAGCTCATTAGTCTGCTGCTTCTCCTTTCGATGTCCAATCACAGGCTGCTGGAGGGACAAGACCTGTAAGAGTTACTGAACTACAGCAGAGACAAATCGGGTCTTCTCCCCGCTAGACAGGGCTGTGTAAATCTCCAGACTGCATGGGCAGAAACAGAAAACCTTTAGCAGGTAAAACAGCGTATGCGTACTTAGCTGTTTGCCTGGACGTTCAGCTTTAGCCCTCTTGGAGTACATGCTGTTCAAGATTCTTTTGCATAACCAAAATCTATGAATTGAGGAGTATTATAATATGACGGGGATTACCTGACAATGCACTGTTGCCTAAATTATGCTTTCTCCTCCTATCAACATGCTCTTTACTATCATGGGGCGGAGAGAAATGGATCCCCTGAAATGCATCCCAGCACTCTGTAGCTGCCAACGTCACAAGTTAGTCCCGGTTAGGAAGGGGCCGACTCCTTACCTCTTGGCCATATTCTATCCATCTGTTATATTCGTCCTTCCAGTACCACAGCCATTCAGTGGTGAGGATGAAGTGGGGAGGTTTGGAGGCAGAAGACGGAGTGGAGAGTCGCCTCACCTTACGGGATTTAAGCATCATGGTGTCATAGTTCAGGTCCTTCACTACAGTCCTGTAAAACAATTCTTATAATAATTCCTCGATCTAACACACCACCCCCTACAGGCCACAATGAGGTACTGCACACAGCAACTGGTTTCCTGCACTCTGCATCCATTCCCAAAAAACCCTTCCAAATCCCTAGTAAGGGGAACACAGAATTTCAACTGTATTGAACGGATTACCTCCAAGTACTCCAGAGATGACGGGTCTATAACCGAAAGCTTTGCTACTGTGACCCAGCAATCAATACCTTTCACAGAGCAATGTATCATACTGTATAAATTCAGGTCCTGGGTGACATTTTCCAACACACAGACCACTTCCTGTGAACTAATCCCATTGGAAGGAAAGCACTTCTGAATACAGATTATTAAACTCATTTAGAAGCTTGCTAAATATTATCTGTGGTATATTGCAAAATACACTATAGGGTTATAAGTCTGCGGACATCTGACCATCACCTCTTTAGGAGTGTGTTGGACATCCCATTCCACATACCTGCTGTTGGGATCGCAGTAGGAGCGCTCAATCGCCTCTATGTCTGGAAAGTCCGTCCAGGTATCATCGATACACACCTGCCATCTGTATGGGAGGTTATAATGATCCCTCACACATCGTTCTGTAAGGATACAGAGTAACAGTACGACATCCTCTCATTTAAATGAATATATATATTTTTTTTCTCTATATCTCAATTAGGGATGCATCGGTTTTTTTTTCCGGTACTCGCCGATACCGGAAGTCCCATTAAGGAAGCCAGGTGGTGTGTAATGACTCTCCACCAGGCTTCACAATTAGCAGGGAAGCCAGCTCCATGCTCCCTCGTCACCAGTGTAATGACTCGCTGCTAGGCTTCCTAATACCAGAAGCTCAAGTATCGGGCTAATAATAATAATATATATACACTGAGTGGCCAGATTATTATGACCACCCCATCAGTACTTCGTTGGGTTGCCTCGTGACTCCACGAGATGTTGAAAGGTGATACAAGGAATCTGACACTGCGCTGTTGACCTTCTGTTGTCTTGTACCAGTCTTGCCACTCTGCGTTCTGCCCTAACATTGACTAGTCGCTGACGGACACAATTCGCATGTTCAGACCCAGATTTTCGGCTGACAGTCCAGTCTTTAAACACTTTAACAATGAGCTCCTCTTGAACATTTAACGAATTCTGCTGTTTTGCTGATACTCGCTCCATGGCTCCGAGCGCCAACAATCATCCCACGTTCAAAGGCTGTTAAATCGCGTTGTTTCCCCATATCTTCAGAAAACAATCACTTCTACTGTCGTGGTAAACAACCTGCTTCCCTATTTATAATGGTCTGGCCCTCTAGCAACTTCAGCGCCAAATTATAGCTAATTATAGCTAATTTGTCTACAAACGTCAGGTGGTCATAATAATCTGGCCACTCAGTGTATATATATAAAAATGTGGCAAGAGGCCACTTCATTACATATGCAGTAGGGATGCATAGATACCAGTATTTCGGTATCGAGTACCGATATTTATTTTTTCGGTACTCACCGATAACAGAAGTCCCTATATCACCAGAAGTCACCGATAAGGAAGCCAGGTGGTGTGTAAAGGCTCGCCACCGGGCTTCCTGATTAGCAGGAAAGCTGTCCCCATGCTTCTCGCCACTAGGTGACGCCCAGCTTCCTGATTGGCTGGGAAGCCGGCTCCATGCCCACTCGTCAAGACCAATCAGGAAGCCGGTCAGCGAGTCATTGCACGCTGCCCGGCTTCCTGATTAGCCAGAAAGCCAGCACCGTGCTCCCTCGTCACACGTGACGAGGGAGCATGGAGCCAGCTTCCTGGCCAATCAGGAAGCCGGTCTGCGAGTCATTACACGCTGCCCGGCTTCCTGATTAGCCAGAAAGCCAGCACCGTGCTCCCTCGTCACACGTGACGAGGGAGCATGGAGCCAGCTTCCTGGCCAATCAGGAAGCCAGGCAGCATGTAATGACTCGCTGCCCGGCTTCCCGATACCGGAAGTGGACAAGTGGCGACATCGGCACCGATATCGATACTAGTATCGGTGCATCCCTAATATGCAGAGTCTGCTTCCTTTTCAGTAGTGCTGCGCAGTGACTATTTTTTCTATTCTCCTCTCTCATTATCAGTCAGTCAATCAGTGGGTCAGACCTGATTATTTAAAACAGGCTTTCACTAAGGCAGTAGGTGCCTACAGATGTAAGAAAAGGTTCTTCTGATTCAGCCCGTTTGGCAGAATACAATTTAATCTCACAGGAACAAAGCGACTGACCCACCAGAACGCTACTGGCCCCCCACAGATACTGTATATTCCAGTGTCCAGGTGCTGCTACTTTCCTCCTCCAGGTCCAAACATACAGCTTCGCATTGTGGAAAGCACATGGCAAATCAACACTTTTTTTAAAATGCCTTTTTGGATCTTTTGGATACATTTTTAAAACTCTTTTAAAATAATTTCTAAGTTATATTTCTCAGTTATATTTCTTTTGCGATTAACCCTTCACAGCCTGACCCCATCCTGATCCTTGCAAACAATCATTGAAACGGGACAATAGACTCCATGGATCCTACCAGGTGTGGCTGCCCTAGGGCAAAGAGGAGATTACAGTAGTCAAAGTGGGCATGTACTGTGAGCTCAGACATGAACGGGCGGTTGTGGCAATGTTACTCAGGAAGAGTATGATTGGCGCTGGTAAGAGGGTTTAATATATTCAATAGGAGCCATGTTCGGTGGGCTTAGTCTTACCTTTGAAGCTGCAGCTGTTTAAGATGAAGTAGAGACAAATCTCTTCCACGGGCTGAGAACTGGCAGATCTCTGGACTGCTGGCCTGTCTGGGAATCAAGTGCCATTAGTGAGGCCGAATTTAAACATTTTTTAAATAATTATTATCAGAAGTCCAACATTGACCCTTTTTTTTAGTACTAGTCATGATCTACCCATCACTGACCCCTGCTCACCACTGTCCCCTATTAATCCCATATCCATCACTGTCCAATTACCACCACTGTCCCCTATTCATCACCTACTTATCCATACTCAACACTGCCACTTGTCTACAGGCCCTCTAATGTACCTTGCTGACTACTGTTCCTTGTCCTCTAATGGCCCATTCCCTTTCACGTCCCCGGCCCTCCAATAGCCCATTCCCTTCCATGTCCCCAGCCCTCCAATGGCCCATTCAATTCCATGTCCCCGGTCCAGCAACTTCCCCTAGCCTACAATGTCCCCTGCCCTCCAATGACCAATTCCCTCAAATTTTTCCTGCTCTCCAATGACTGATTTCTTCTAATTTACCCTACCCTCCACTGTCTTCTGCCCTCCACTGTCTTCGGCCCACCAATGTTCCCTGTCCTCAAAACTCTCCACATTCTCCAATGTCTCCTTCCATTTAATGTCCCTTGGCTGCCCCCCCCCATTCACACTGTCAGGGCTATTCACAAAAGGGTGAAGAGTTTGGAGAAGGCAGGAGAAGTGACCAATCTAGGACAACATAGCTGATTTGGAAAAATTATCCAATTCATCTCACTTTCCAGGTCAGCTATGTTGTCCTAGATTGTTCACTTCTCCGGCCTTCTCCCAACTCTTCACCCTTTTGTGAATAATCCTGTAAGTCTCTGCCTCCTGACACGTTTTCATGGAATATCAACTTTCCATATGCAGCCTAAATCCTAATTGGAATTTTCTGAAGCCCATACCAGGGCATCACTCAGCCATAGTGGCAGAACCCTGAGAAGGCTTAAAATGACATTGTCCCACTCCGGGGTTGATCTGGCTGGAGGGATAGTGGAGGGTCCTGGCCCCCCTGGCTATGAGTGCACCAGTTCTGCAGCCAGACCAAAGTGAGTAAAGGTCATACATGGGTTTAATATGCTGGACCAATGAATACAAATAATCCTACAGGTGCTCACCTTTTCTCACAGGAGACTTAGGCTCTGCCATTGGGGTAGCATTGGCATTGTTTTTTATGGCACTGGCATTCAGGTACAACTCCAGGATTTGCGGAACAAGGCTGGCGGCCAACCCCCATTTGGTCATCCTCCGCACCGTATCGTCGTCGCTGAGGTCATGTGACCTCTTACATTTACTTCCAAACTTGCAGTCGCCCTGCAGGAGGTGCTGGCAAAGGTGCAGCTTGTTGCAGGTGGTTTTGTAGGTGCAGGAGCCATAAGGACCCTCCCCACGATTGTAATGTAAACAGACCTACCAGAAAAGAGAACGATAACTGAGCCAATCCAACAAAAACACAGAAAACCCAAACTAAAACAGATTATAAAAAGGAGAGGACGTTACACAGCTGCCACTTTGTAAACGTAGCCCCTCAAAGAGAATCCACAGTGCACACTCACTGGATTTTACTTTGTCATTTTTTATAATCTGAAAATAATTTTAAATCTCAATTTTTACCTACTTGCCATTCCATATTTATATTATATAGATTTTTTTTATATTCTCTTTTTCATATATTATGAAATAATATAATATTTTTCGGCCCATGCAGTTAGCCCCTTGCTGAATAACTGCTTGGGACACATTTACATCAGCAGCGTTGGGTTCTGTTGTCTAGCGCAGTTCTAATACAAGAACAAGGCTATTTGTCGTATGTCCTGGTGTCATGGTGCGCACTGAAAAAAGTAGAACATGTTCCATTTTTGCTAACTGAATTCCAATGCACACTGCGATGACAGTTATTGAGTTCAGGTATTTCCGGTGAAGGGTACTATTAATACTACAGCACACAAAGTCATTTTAGACATTTGTGCTCTTCCAACGTTGTCATAACAGTTTGGTGAAGGACCTTTTTTGTTCCACCATCATTGTGTCCCCATGTACTATGTGACCTGTTTTGCGTGGAGGAACTCGAGTGACCGTCACAGAGCCCTGACCTCAACCCTGCAGAACACCTTTGGGATGATCTGGAACTCCGATTGTAAGTCAGTTCTTCCCATCAAACATCAATACCTGACCTCACAAATGGGCCCAAATTCCCACAAATACTCCAAAGTCTTGTGGAAAGCCTTCCAAGAAGGGTGGAGGAGGTTTTAGTTGCAAAGGGAGGACTTCATATTTATGCCCATGACTTTGGAATGGGATGTTCAACACACTCACTGAATCTTGTGGAAACTTTCCCAGAAGTGTGGAGGATGTTATAGTTGCAAAGGCTGGTAGGGGGCTCCATGTGAATACCCATGGCATTGATATATAATATCCAACACACTCACTTAATCTTCTGGAAATCCTTCAATGAAATGTGAAGGATGTTATAGTTGCATTGGTTATGGTGTGTGTGGGGGCGGGGGGGATTCCATATTCATTCCCATGGATTTGGAATGGGATGTCCAACACTCTCACTCAATCTTATGGAAAGCCTCCCCAGAAGAGTGGAGGCTGTTATAGTTGCAAAGGTGGTGGTGGGGGGCTCCATATTAATATGGCTTTGGAATAGGAGGTCCAACACTCTCACTCAAACTTGTGGAAACTTTCCCAGAAGAGTGGAGAATGCTATAGGTGTATAGGTGGGGAGGGGGACGCTCTATACCAATACCCATGGCTTTAGTATAGGATGTCCAACACTTTCAATCAGTCTTAGGTAAAGCCATCACAGAAGAGTGGGGGATATTATAGCTGCAAAGGAAGGGATGACCGGGGGGGGGGGGAGTGGGACACCATATTAATGGCCATAGTTTTTGGAATCCACAGACCTTGAACCACAGAACTGGCTGGTCTTGTAACAACACATCACAGTCACAGGTTTAGCGGAATACAAAGGGCACAGACTGAGGAATAATTTTGTAAGGTAAAGAGAAAAGTAAAATAAAATGTTACAAGTCTGTCTGTATCCACTGAATGTAAGAACTGATAACCAATCTGTAACAGCGGGGAGGTACAGAGAATTCTCTGCCTTGCACTCAAGGACACGCGATAACTCCCTGCTACTCCCCCCGCTGCAACAGTTTATCTGCTCCCTCCATGAACTCCGCTCTAATGGAACCACTTACAGGGTTATTCACAAAAGGGTGAGGAGTTTGGAGAAGGCCGGAGAAGTGAACAATCTAGGACAAAATAACAGATTTGGAAAAATTCTCCAGTTCAGCTCACTTTCCAGTTCAGCTATGTTGTCCTGGATTGTTCCCTTCTCCTGTCTTCCCCAAACCCTTCACCCTTTTGTGAATAGACCTGTAAATATCAGTTTATAACGTGGAGCTGCTGGGATCACTAAATACAAGCAAATATAACAATTTCCTTCTTGCCATGGCAGAGGAGCGTATAGGCAGTCTATGACCTGATACCCTGGAAAATGTGGTGCCAATACCTATCCGTCCTCCGGGAGTAGATCACAATAAAGGCCTGTTCATAACATAGCATTGCGCTAAAAGCACGGCATTCATGTATATAGTGCAAACTACTCAACAGGGCTCTGTGCATGCGTTATTTTTTACCACAGCACAGCAATGTAACACATGCTACTATGGTACTGTGTGTTGCCCAGCAATAGGTGCCTTGAGGTGACATTCAGAATGAATGTCAACACAACAGTGCACTTAGCGTGTGCTAAACGCACAGATACGGTACTTCTTGTGCAACGCTATAGTGCAGGGGTGGGCAAACTCTGGCCCTCAAGCTGTGGTGGAACTACAAATCCAATGAGACATTGTAAGATTCTCACAGCCACAGATATGACTTTTAGATTGTAAGCCCTCCTTCCCATCTTGTCTTGAATTGTATTGTGATTGTAATGTCTTCCAATTATTGTAAAGCGCTGCACAAACTGTTGGTGCTATATAAATCCTGTATAATAATAATAATAATGACTCCCAGAGGCAGATGCATCGTGGGATTTGTCGTTTCACCACAGCTGGAGGGCCAGAGTTTGCCTACCCCTGCTATAGTGTGAATCACCCTAATAGCACAGCTTATATACAGAATACTGCATCATGGGAGCATATACTCACCAGAGCATTGCGCTAAGCAAATGAGATCCACGCGTAGATGCCATTGCACTACACAGTACTCTAGGTGCGCTGCTTCAGCAATACCACACGTTGCGGTGAAAAAAAAAGCAATGCATGCACTGCTCTAACTCATGGTATTGAGGTAACCACCAGGAGGTACGTTGGGATGCTATTTAAATCGATGATACCGGAACGCACCTAGCAAGCGGTGCAGTGTGCTGTGCGATAGCGTGCTCTAAATGCATGGATCCTGTGTGTTTAGCGCAACACTTCACGGTTTTTATGCAGTTGGTTTAGAAGTGCCAAACGTGACAAAATGTTTTGGCTCCATTTACACTTTAATGCATTCACATTGCTCCTTACATCGGGCAGCAGAGTGGGGTCATTCTGTAAGAGAAGGTAGCGCAGTTCTGTTATGGTCACTCCGTCCAGATGGTGCTTCTTCAACACCTTTGCAGCTTTATCGGTATCGATGCTATGGTCGAACTTACAGCGCGGCCTGCAAAAGCAGAACACATCAGAGTGTCAGTCCTGCACTTTTCAAAGATAAGCTTCTTAAAGTGACATTAAAGCCAAACATTTTTCCCTCCCCCCAATGTTAGTGAAAGCACTTACCTTAAATGATGTTTCTTAACCCGATCTTCTTCTTCTTTCCTGTCCCTTCAGCGCTGCGGCGGGTCTCCGATCCAGCGCTGATTCCTCTGTCCTTGCTGGCACTTCCTGTCCCACGGTGTCTGCATGCGGGTGCACGCGTCCATAGACTTACCTTGTGTCTCTCCTCGTCTGCTGGCCGAAAATCTGAACTGCGCATGCGCCCGCCCCAAGATGCTTTGCAGCCGCCCGAGAATTTTCAGATTTTTGGACGGGAGCGCGCGGCGAAGACACCGGTAAGTTTAAATCGCTTTTAAAGCGTTTTTGTTTTTTTACTTTTTGCATATATTTACTGCTTGCTAGCCATATATATATATATGCAAAAAAATTGTGAGGGTTTATAAACCCTTTAAAACAGTCCAAAATAAAACTGAGAAACAAATTCCTCGCCAGGACCAGAAACATTGCAACCTGACTGCAGGATCATACCTGCATTAGTTCTGCAGATACTGAGACAGGCTCTTCCAGTAACTTCCTCACACTCAGTGGGAGGGTCTGTTTGTGATAATCACAGGACCGTTCCCAGGGTTGTACGACCACAAAACCTGCATCTCTGCAGACGTACAATACACTTGGCTAATATGTTACTACAGATGAAAATAACTCTAAAGATAACATGGCGGGGGATGCCCGATATTGGACCCCAAGCTCTATGCAGACTTCTGGGAAAAGCAGCGTGCCTCTCACAGGAGAAGTACGATAATGAAAGAATACTGTTGCATTGGTTGCAAAGAAAAGAAATTTGAATTTTCTGACAGTTTTGGAAGGTCATACCGGTCTCTAAATGATAAAATGGCTTCTGTAGAACTGATGTACATGATATCAATTTCTAATCGATGCGTTTTTAAAGTGGGGCTGAAATTGAAACCGTCAATATCTGACCAGTTTTGGATGGAGCGGAGAAGGGTTAGAACCCCTGTCATGTTTTAATCACTGTTGGTGTCCCTTTTCGAGGGATTTCCCCCACTTCCTGTCTCAGCAACAATATTGCCAAATAATGATGGACATTTTCCATAATAGGCCACAAACAATAAGAGGACCTGTTATGTTCACTGTAAGCAATAGGATTTAATACACGCTAGCTAGGAGCTGTCATCTTCATCCTTTCCGTAGGTCACAGACCAAGTATTAGCATACAGCCATTTGTTGCAGGAGAGGGAGGAACAAAGGAAAAGAAAAAGCAAGGGAAAGAAAAGAAGAGGGGAAAAAAGAACAGAAGAGGGGAAAAAAGAACAGAAGAGTGGAAAAAAGAACAGAAGAGGGGAAAAAAGAAAAGAAAAGAAGAGGGAAAAAAAGAAAAGAAAAGAGGGGAAAAAAAGAAAAGGAATGCAGCT